AGTATTTCTAGGTAGTCTACACTTGAACGGAGATAATCAGCACTTTTTAAAGTGACGTGAATGCAGCCGCTGGGCGCTGCACGGCATCATGGGAAGGTACGTGAAGGGACGTTGTTACAATTCAACCAGCAGCACCCCGGGATGACGAGGAGTAGGAGGCCGACCGGTAATCACAGGCATCTGGCGGGGTCCGTCTAAACTCTCCGCAGGCCTACCTCCCCCGCTGACAGAGAGCATGCTGGGAGAGACGGCGAGCTGAGCAGTTAAATTACCTTGTAGTCAGGAGGGATCTGAGCTCCGAATCCAAACGCTGGGAACATTTTGTCACTGTGAGAAGAAAAGAGAGACGTCTGAGGGTAAAAATGGCTGCCAGCAGGAGTTAACGAGCTCATTCAGACCAACACAAAGCAAAGAAATGACTCCTGATTGGCTGTGGGAGGGTCTGGGAAGCTGATTACTTCCTGCACCTGAAAAAAGAACTGAAATACAATCGGAAAATCGAGTCCACTTGAATTAAATGTGATATTTTTATGCTCTGCTGTTGTTTTTCTAAAAGGTAAAACTCTTTTTCCGGTCACTGATTCAACTTTTACACATAATGTAAGTTAAACTGTCGTACTGGGTGGATGGATACAACAAGCTGTTTGTCAAGAAATAGTTCCTGCTCTGGTTTTTACATTTTTTAGCTCAATTTAGCACAGGTAATTATTTATATATGGTTTTACAGTGTAAATATCTTTATTTAAACATTAAGAAGACAAAAATATTGTATGTAACATTAAAGCTAAAACCAGTATTTTAATATTAGAAAATTACTGTATTTTAACCAGTCAGTTATTTTCTGATGTAGGATAGATTACAGTGTGCTGTTCCTTTAATGAACTAACTCATTTGATTGGCTGCTGAGTCAGGTGCAGACCCACCTGTCATAGTCCTGGCAGATCTCTCCCACGGCCACCAGAGCCTTCAGGTACTCGTTGGGCTGGTACGGGTGGATGTAGTGCAGAGAGCAGCTGTTCCGGGGATCTCCGTTAGAGGCCGTGAAGTCGATGGCGACCTGGAGACGACCAATCAGAGACCAGCGTCAGCTTTAACCCTTTCCACGATCCATCCACAGATGTGAAAGTGTAAATGTTTGTCTCTTTGTCTTCAACTGAAGCCCGTACAATGCAGGTGAGAGTTTACTTTTATTTAATGGACACCTGCGAGCCCGGTTGGATCATTTATATCATCTGCGTCGGTGAATTAAAGACTTATTTTCACTAAACCAGAGTTGGTGATTGTTGGAAAAATTTTATTTAGGTTCTGTCCACTTTGAATGATGTTACGATGATCTGTGAAGCAAAATGAGTGTTTTTGTCTCTGGAGTCTGGTGGAGAGTGATATTACGGCTGTTTCAGACACTTTTGCTATATTTTGAAATCTGGTAAAAAGGTACAAATATCATTTTGTCCCTAAAGCAGAATTTAATGGTAGAATCAGGGGAGGGAATCGCTAGCTTTTGTAAGTGTTTAAATAAAGAATTAAATGTGTGAGAGCTGTAGTTTGAGTTCACACAGTTTCCTCTGCGGAGGAAAAGTCCTCGCTCTGTTTCTCTCAACGTTGTTTACACGTCAGACGAGCTTCTGACCCTCCGGGGCGACTCAACCTGAACCAATAGACACACCAGAAATAAACTCTCTCCTGCTGCAGGAAAGTGTTTCTGCCCGACGATGATTAAACATTTAAACACGAATATTTATATATAAGACTTTATAAATGAGACAAAATAAGTCAGTTCAGCAAGAGGAAGAGGAAGGATTACCCCCTTTGGGAATTAATGATATAAACGACCACAGAGACACATCGTGAACCGACTCCCCTGAGGTGGTCTGGGACTCGATCTGAGAATCATTTGATCCTGTAAGAACACAGAAAAACTGCGTCTATTTAGTTTTACGCTTAACGTATCCTGGCTCTTTTATACGGTGGCTGAGAGCTATCAGCGGACGGCAAACGCCACAACAGAAGTGAGCGACAACAAAACAGGGTGGACTGTTATTAGACTGTTATTAATCTGTTATTAGACTGTTATTATACTATTATTAGACTGTTATTAATCTGTTATTAGACTGTTATTAGACTGTTATTATACCGTTATGACACTGTTATTACACTGTTATTATGCTGTCATTAATCTCTGGTCAGATCCCAGTGAGAGCGGTTGCTGTTAACTGGGACTGCTGAGGATGCTGGACGAGTCGCTGTGGTTACCGTTTCCATGGAGACATCAGAACCACTGTGTGTGTGGGTGTGTGTGGGTGTGTGTGTGCACGCGCTCACAGTGAACTGGATCTGACAGCCTCCCATGATGTAATCCAGGAAGGAGTGCATCTTGATGACCTGCAGACAGACGAATATATTTAAAGGTCAGCTGACGAGTGACGTCCAATCAGATTCACAGATCAAGATAAGGTTACATTTTTAACAAAAGGAGAAAAAACGTATTATTTATCGGGACAGAAACCAGGGGCTGAAGACCGGAGCATTAATCTAGCTGTCTGTCGGAGACTAATTAACTGAATTAACATTATGCTGTATGGAAGAAGACTGATGTTGTTTACTGAGCACATAAATCAACTTCTACATAAGACTCAATACTATAAGAGTGGAGCTGCCCCCTGCTGGTCGCTAGAGAGTGTGCAGGTTTACGTCATTTCAGAGACCTATAAGCTTCTTCACACAAACGCAGTACGCAGAGAAAAGATAATGACAACTGCACGTAGTGTTGCTAACTTTGCATCTTGCTAGCGTATAACGTTAGCTCTCTGACTCGTGTTCTCTCTGCGCGGAGGGAACGAGAAATATTATTTCCATTGCATTGCAACCTTATGGGTTGATAATGATTTCTCCAGGTATTAGTCTTTAGAAAAAACTTTAGATTTTGATTGTAAAACGCATTAAAATATAAAATATTGAATTTATTTATTTATCATTTTCTTTGGAACCTGACCAAAGAAAATAAACAGGATAATTCCTCCTCATCAGGAATAATGGACTGGAACAACAGGAAAACTCCAGGACACCATAGGAACCCTGTTTTTATTTTGTATTAATAATTTGCATTCAACCATTGATGGAGGAGCCCCAGGCCCTCCATCTACCAGGGGCCCCTCACTCCCTGAGTGTGGCCCTGACTGTGGAGACAGAATGAGATCAGAGCTGTATTATCATTAAATATCAGCTGATGTATATAGGCCAGCGCTGCGGCTGCAGACGGATCGTTACCTGCAGTTCGTTAGCAATCCGGCACGTAAAGCTGCTCTCATTCTGTCATCAGCTCGCCTCTCGCTCTCAAAACACCTGGTTTCACTTCCTGCCCCCACTCGGACTCCTCATCCATCAAGTGTAAATTAGTAATTTGTTCCTGTGTTGTGCTCCACCTCATTCTGCGCTGCTCTTTTCAAGCAGTCGTTAACTCGCTATGAGGCTTCGTGTGTCGAGTGTCATCAGGCTAAATGTTATCAGGCTTTCATGCTGCGGTGGCGGGATTCCCCAGACTCCCCTTGCTCGGCGTCTGAGTGCCGTTCAGCACCGTCTGGCAGGAAATGTCAGGTTAGTCAGGCTGCTCAGCGCCACATAATTGGTTCCTCTAACAGTCTGCCAGCCAGACACCGTCAGTCTCCCAAAAAACAAGGAGAGCAGCACCGAGAAAAAGCCTCATCTCATGCCCTCATGTCCTGAACTGTTTACCGTAATGTTTAAATCTGAGAAAGAACATTTAAAAAAAAAAGCAATGATAAAGAAAATCTGCACAATGTGTGCTGAGAAATGGAGGAAAACCAGTGAGTGTGGAGAGGTTTAATGAGGTTTCATTAACGATTTTAATGTCAGGACTGTCAGTTTTTCTGTCAGGGATCCTCCTGTGTAGGAATTATTGAACACAAAGTGTTTCTGTTACCTGAGAAAAGACAGTGACATGGCTCATAGCAAGCTTTAACATACTATCAGATTATATTTACCGTTTATCGACCGTACGAAGTGGTATTGACTTTTAATCTTGCTAGCACAAGCTATCTGACTCGTAGTGTAATGCTAGCTCTCTGACTCATGGGCAGGACTTTAACCCAGGAGAATGCTGTCCAGCGAAACCAAAAGTCAATGTCAACATTTTTAGTTACGTACATAATTTAACATTAGTTACATCAAGTACATAACTTTCTTTTTAAAAACCTAACTAAGCTGTTTTGTCGCTAAAAGAAAGGACCAAAACATATTAAAGTAAAATGGGAAATATACACAAGATCAACAGCTACATAGAGCTGGGTGTCGACTGCATATTAAGATCATACTGCGCTCACATGGATCAAGATAATAGTGGTGATATATTAAGACTGAAAATCAGTGGACCTAGGACAGAGCTTTGTGGAACTCCATATGGAATATTTGTTTGCTAACTTTCGTTGTTAAAATTAGCTTTTTCAACTGAAGGAACCCATGTTGGTTAATTATGAAGTGTTTTAATAGGTCAGTCATTCACCTTGCACTGGTTTAGAATGACGATCCCGGAGTTCTTGTAATTCTTCTTCTTGACTTTGTATTTAGGATTCATGCACGGCCACTGCACCTGAAAACACACAAAAAAACAGTAAAGAAACAAAATATAGAGAAACAAAATATTTTTACTGTCACTGACAGGAAGTTAGGGTTTGGCTCTGGTGAACTCACAAAAAATTAAAATACAAAACAGCAGCACATCACAACTACACTGATGTAAACAAAAGGTAAAAACACAGAATGATCGTCGTCAAACAATAATGAATAATAATAATAATAAAATCATAATATTTCAGGCCAAAAACTCAAATGACTTCTTGGAGAGGGAACCAGAGGAGCTACAATGCTAATGCTACTTTCAGGTTTTAGGACTACAGCACTCTGGTTATTATTGTCACCATGATCATCATACTGCCTTTGGCTGAACCTTGGATACTGATATAAGCTAGCGGCTGTGTTGTAGTTAAGCTAGCAGCTGTGTTTTCTTTTCATTCAACTCCATAACTAAGTTAACATGAAGGTCATAATCAACCCACAGAGGGAATTTGATAAATGGGCAGAACAAAATAAAAGTAATTTATTGCAGCAACAGTGAAACTATGTTTAACAATATGTAGACGATGAATTATTTTATCTGTATAAGGTCATTATCTTCAAACTCGTAATCACAATATTGGTCATAAAGTCTCCCCAAATCGTTCCAGTGACAGCCTCCTGAACTCGAGTTACATTCAGTGTTACACAGCAGTTTAACCACAAACCCTCCGAGCTAAAAACAATCCTTCAGCTGCCCAAACGAGCCTTCAGAGGATTCGCTCTAACTCTGTTATGTGTTAACTGAGGACTGGGTGACACACGGCGTTTCAGACTCGGGTCGATAGATAGATGGAGGAGGACAATTTTTTTTGGACACACTTTAATGACACATTGTCCCAACTGTCAACCTATCGTTATGTCACCCATTGATTTGTGGAGAACCGTTTTGAAGCTTCCAGTTTGGCATTTTGGTCGTTGCCATGACAGTTTGTCGTAGCCAGTAGAGGTGGCGTACTGCATGTTGAGCTGCTCTCATTGGCGGCGCAGTTTCGACTCGTCCGTACAGGAAACAATGGCAGTTCGCCTGGTCACACATGATCTCATATTCCAGATAAACACTAAATTATGTTTGTGAAAAGATTTGAGGAGAGAAATACATAAAGCAGATCTCTAGGACTGCCTTCTTTCATTTACGTAATATTGCAAAAATTAGACACATCCTATCACAGACAGATGCAG